TTTTCATCAGCCCGCACGATTATATCCGCAAAGAAGAGAGCTTTCTGATATTGTATCAATATAGCCAAAGCAAAATATATCAATACAATAGTATGAGAAGCACTTATATATATATATATTTAAGTGCTTCTCATACTATTGTATTGATATATTTTACTTTGGTTATATTGATGCAATGTTAGAAGGCACTCTTTTAGCGGATATAATCATGTGAGCTGATGAAAAGATTATATCTTTTATTTTCCAGATTTTTTAAGACTTTTTGTCCTTTTTATACGTTTTATTTCTTCCGGGTTTTTTGTTATATTTATTATTATTTTTCTCTTTTCCCCCTTTTTTCATTGTTCTGTAATTTTTCCCTTGCTTTCACTACAATTTGAACTTTGTATATGAAATGATGAAATTATTTATTTATTTATTTATAGTATATGGTGTATATATAAAAAGAACTCCTCCCGCCATAAAGTTTAACACCGTCTTCTGCTAGGGAAACAAGAAATAGAGCATTTCAAAGAGCATTTCTCGCCTGATTCCCTTTCTCTCACCGGCCCATGCCAAAATCTGTCTTAAGTATTGATCGGCCCATTGGTAACAAAATGAAACGATTCGGTGAAAGTTTTTGCAAATTGCCTGATAGACAGAAATTTACACGTGTACACCATTATTTATAAAGAAATACTAGTTTACGCCTTGTATAATATCTTTATTTTCTATTCCATACTAATATCTAACTAGAAGAAAAGAGACATATTAATTACTTATGTCATTTAAAATGCCATCTATTCCTATCTGCGTATGTTCTTAATTATGCATTTTAACTCGCTAAAGTACTAATAGCTATAACATACATATTTAGTGCTATGCTTAATATCATTTTATTCATTTTTTTAGCATTTCGAACAAGTGCACCACAAAATTCTTGGTAGTTCTTGTGGTTATAAATCTCTCTGGAGCTTTTTGATGTGTTGTAATCTTTCCTTCTTTGCTCTCGATTCCATGAGCTTCCTGAAAGGATACCTCATCATGATGATGACTGTCTCTAGGAAGTCAAATACTGCTACCAATGAGATTCCTAGCCACATTCCAACATAGCCTCCAAGGTAGCTGAACGTTTCGATGTTCTAAAATATAGATAATTGCTTTTAATTATCATTGAAATTTCACTAAACTTGTTGAATTTATTTTAAAATAGATGTTCTAAGGGCAGATTTTTTGAGTCCCTGATTGTCTGTAACTCTATTTGCTTCAAAATAGTTTTCATAAACAGTATAAATATCATCCTTTCACACGTTTCAAAAATTACCAATCGATAGAAAAACCTATCAAAATGAACAGAAGGAGACAGTATAGCGTGATTTGCGGCGTTCCCCTTAGGAAATTACTTCTCCATGTACTCTTTATGTTTAAAATTTGGTTACAAAAATCACCAATAGATGGCACAGCAAACCGATAAACGCTAAATAAAAATGTTTTCAAAAGTATCCACCATTTGTATGCACAACGTAATGTCGTTTGAAGACAAAATTAACATTCCCCATTGCTAATACTGAAAGGTAAAAATAACCTAGACCCTAGATATCCTAGTTACCCAATACCCTAGACCATGGACGGTACTCAGAGTCTCCTAATTCTAGTTTTTTCGAACGGCCTTCGAAGTTGCCTAAATCGTATCAATTTCCACATTTCAATTTTTAATTAGATCTAATTACTGACAGCAGATCTAATCAGATCTATTAGCGGCAGCCTTTGCGATTTTTTAATATAGAGAGAAACAAGTTTATTAAGATAAATTTCAAGATAAAAAAAAAGTTGAATTGAAGATAAAACAAATTGCAAGCTAGAATTAACGAATTGTGACGAAATACAAGCTAAGTAAGGACATTTGAACGAATTTATTGTTTATTTGCAATTAAAAGTAACATAGAAATTCAATCGAAACATTTTACCTGATATTTGGGACTATATGTATATGTCGTTGTTTCCATTCCATTTAGGTATATAAACATGCCTATATCTTGTCTAAAATAAAATAAAAAATTCATGTACCATACCATTTATTTTTTTTTTTTTTTTTTTTTTTTTTTTTTTTTTTTTTTTTTGCAAAATACAACTGTCAATTTAATTAATATAACTTCCTTTTATTTAGAGTTGTAACACATTTTTATGACACATTTGCAAACTCTTAAGTAATAAGTTATTTTTTTAATTTTTTGTAAATATCTATAATAAATGCGATAATTGAAAAATGTATTTAGATCTTAATAGAATTAAGAAATTTTAATAAGTTGAGAAAAATTTAGAAATTTAAAATTAAACTGTTGGTCTATTGTCGATGATCTCAGATTCCCCCTTAATGATCCCTAAACGAAAATGGCGTTGTGCACATACTACGTTTCAACACCCGACCTCCGCACCATGCACTTATACTGGCTTAAGGCCATTGTTTGTTTGTTTTCCTAGTCTGAAGCCTCCAGATATAAAACATCAGGGTGGAGTCGTAAACATTAAGACATGATAAGTGAAAGTACTCTCCGCGTCGACGGAGAGTACTTATATATAGAGAGAGCATATATATATATATAAAATTTCATTTTGAAATAACTCCTATTAATAACTCTAAAAGTATTGCATCAACAAAGTTAGACATTTTTTGAATAAATCAATTACTGATATAACTAAGAGCGTTAGCAAGCTTTTTTCCTGTTGAATTAGAGGGTTGCTTTAACAGTAGAAAGACTGAAACTTGGTATATACCTATATTGCCCAAAGTAAATTGGCCTCTCTCTCAATAGAAAAGGTTTTGTTTTATGGCTTCCGAGGCTGAAGACGTCGGCTTCGGTGGTCGTATTTTTATTTTTATTTCCTTCGTTTTCTTTATTACTATATTTATTCTTTCTTTTGAAAATTCTGCTGCGTTTAAGCGCGCTTCTTTCAGAGATAGTTTTGTCAATTTAGAATTAAATATTTTGTATTCTCTTACTAATGCATAAAGAAATTTGTTTAAATTAATTTTTAATATTTTTTTATATTATTTGCAATAAATTATTAGTAAATATTACCAAGAAAAAAAATTATATGTTGTACTAAAAGACACAAAATATTAAGAAATTGTGTCATTATATACATCATTGTTTTTCTAGTTGAAATTAAAAAGCAGTGATTAAAAATGACTTCCGTAGCCAATCTAGTGTTAAAAAACTGTAAATATGCATAAAATGTTTTCATTGAAGTCTAACGCAATTAAGCAGAATACTTACGCAAAAGATTTGAATTCATCAAAGCCACAGTCAGCCTAAAGAGGGATGAAGGGCAATTTTAGTGTGGAATTTTCATAAATTATACTTAATAAAACTCTGATTTTTCTCTCACTACCTCTAATAAAAATTACTCTAAACTACTATAAACTCAAAACTTGCCATGTACTGCAAACATTTAATGAGAGCAATACTTTACATGAGTGAGAACTATAAAACTACTTCTCCTTCTGAGAATTTCATTCATTAATTCTAAAAGCATGTTTGTATAAATAATTTAAAATAATTGCTTATAACTTATTATGCTTTACATTTTATAGAATTTTTTTCAAATTTCAATAAGAATAAAAAATATCCTACAAAGCTTCAATAAAGTAAGTAAGTAATGGTAAATAAATGTAAGACAAATGTTAGACAAAGTAAGTAAATGTAAGGCAAATGTTAGACAAAGTAAATAAATGTAAGACAAATGTTAGACAAAGTAAGTAAATGTAAGACAAATGTTAGACAAAGTAAATAAATGTAAGACAAATGTTGGACAAAGTAAATAAATGTAAGACTTTTTTAAGAAGATAACTAAAAACGAATAGACTATGTGCGGTTAATAATAAATGAAGATTTTTTATTAACACTTAAAAATGGTATACTCAATAACTCGTTATGTTTTTTAATTTATCTCCTTAAAGATTTAGCAGGATATTCAATCATAAGATAATTCTAACAGTAAGGTCTCGTTTTGTTAGTATTACAAATATTCTTTCACTTTTATAAATTAATTCATTTTTTTAATTAATTATTTTCCAAGGAATATCCTATCAAATTTTGTAAGCTTGAAAAGAAGACCAATTTTCAAAGATTTTCGACAATGGTGTTGCTCCTTATTATTACGTTTTTGCTGATCTTTCTCGAATAAGAACTGAAAACAAAATTGAGACTGTGACAATGGAACTTACTTGACTGCGTCTGTCTCTAACATCTCTTACAATTTCATAATGTTCATCACTGCAAAGGAAATTGAAAATTTTGATTGATTAGTTATTTTCATGATATTTTTCATTGTTTTTTTTTAATTGATTTGATTGCTTAATGATTGTGAAACTACTCTACATAACCAGTTGAATCAGACTGCATTTTTTCAGTACTTGCACTTGGGCAAATTTCATCGCAAGAGAAATGTAAAGAAAAAGGGCAATAATTTGTTTCAAAAAAAGGTTAAGTTTAGAAATCATTTATACAGGATGTTCAAAAATTATGGAAGTATTTAAATACCTAGAGAAATAAGCAATGGATTAAAATATCTAAAAATACCCATTTAAAGTAATTTTAAAAGATTCATTCAGGCATACTTAACTATCTCTCAAACTCACCCTTTACATGAGGAACAATTATGTTCAAATTACCTTACTGTAAGGTATTGTCAATTCTGTCAAGAAACATAAAAATTCTGGAATTACAAACCAAAATTTAAGGTATTTAAACCATTCATTCAATATTTCTTTCTTTCGTATGGTAATCGTTTGCCCGAAGCTTTGGTTTTCGAAATGAAAGTTCTTATCAGCGCACATTTAAAAAAAAAACTAAAAAGTAAATTCAACCGAATAATGTTCAAAGGTATCAGGATAAAATTACCACTTTTAAAAAATTTTGTCATATATTTCAAAACCATATTTAATTGTTAGTTTTACCAAAAACTTACCAAATCCCTTTGGTTTTCGTATTTTAGTTTAGAAAATATGCTGTAATTTAAAAAGGAAAATGAAGTAAAAATTCTTTAAAATGGAAATATCTGGAAAATATATAGTATATCACGAGGAAAAACTAATGAGTTTTTTGTGGAATATTATAAAAAATTCAAATTAATACTCTTGTTGCAACTGATGTAAGTACCAAGGAAAAAGACTCAAAGAAGCAACGTGTTCGTCAAGAAATATTCAGTACTGAATTCAAGTCTGGAAATCTTTATGGTCAATCAATCTTGCGAATATCATCCGCAGTCCAAAAATTCCTCGCCATAACGAGGTTTATTGTGGCAGTGTACTGCCCTCCATAAAAAGCAAAAGCAGAACTCCTTAAACACGTATTTATATTCAAACCAGTTAACGGACTTCTATTTTCAAAGGCATAGAGGGTTAAGATTCTATCCAACATGATTTGTCCAATGACTATCAAACTTTTGTTCTTACAATAATTGATTTCTCGGACAGTGGTGGGTTGATGAAGAATCATTGGTTTTTTCTCCGTATAAAAGTACAAACTGGACACACCACCTGCTTTCCAATGTCTGAGATAGCGGTTATTGCAGAAACGAAAGTTTAATGACCTGAAAACGCGTTGGACACAATCCATCCACCCCTGTTTTGCATTGCTGCTGGTTTTGCGTATTGCAACTGGTTTGAAAAACGATGGTCATAACGATGGTTGAATAACGATGGTCTCCATGTTCGTTACATGAGCTGGAATAAAGGTTTATTCCATGCCAAGTTTTTTTCCTAATATCGTCGTCTCCATGACAATTTAATTAGCAACACTAGAATTCATTGTAAGCAATTCATTACAGTGAGAGATTGATACAATTCTTACTCGAACCTATCTTAGATTTTTCAAAGGCATTTTTTTGCATAGCACACTTAAGTACTTTTTTCTGTAAGAAAAGATTTCTGCAGAATCTTGCTTTTTGCTGCAATGCATGATAGTGTATGGATTCATCTGAATTTCAATGGAGAAATCAAGAAGGTTCATTCGTTTTAGTATGTTAGTATTAGCTAGGTTCGTTTATGTATTTAGTAGTTAGCTAGGTTCATTCGTTTTAGTATGACACACATAAAAACCTTAAATTTTGGTCGGCAGCTTAGATGTATAAAAATGAGAAACTACATTCGTTAATCAGACAAACAATTGTACAAACTATTTGGATAATTCAAATCTACCTCAATCATTTGTTTTATTTTTTTATTCTTTCAAGGTAACATCTACAAATAACACTTTATTCCTGTTTATCAATAAAACGCTATAGAACAATTAAACAATATACTCACTAACATGCTGGATTACAGTGCTTTTTCTGGCATTCTGCAATTTTAGCTATTACATCACCCTTTGGAATAACTGTAAATAATGAACCATATACTTAACTTATAAATAAATGCTGTTTTTCGAAAATTTAAAGATATAGGCATATTCTTCAAATTTTCTTATCAAATACAGAATAATCAAAACACAAAATTAAAATTATTCATTATTAGGTACTGATAATTGTATCATCAAAAAATCGTTTGATCTGGAATTTAAGAATATTCGTTGCGGAGTTTAGAAGCGCCAAAAAGTTCTGTAAATAATTTTGAAATCATTAATGTCATTCTAATTTTTATATCATTTTTATTGATTTGATTTTCGATTTGTAACGATTTCAGATTTGTATCTTGCGATCTGATCAGATCAAACCAACTAAACGACACAAACTTCTGTTAAAATATTGTGACTTTATGACAATGCAAGGTTCATCTTATACGAAATTGCCATCAAAGAATCATCCATCAGCATATCCCTCCATCATCATATCGTCAATTAAATTTCCGACCTCTTTCTGATGAGCTAGAGCAATAAAAGGAGAGTGTTCCATAAAGGCCATATATTATGTACATTTTAAGAATCCTTATCAATCCAATCAATTTTAAGAATCCTTAAGACAAGCATACTTCGAAAACTAGCAACTTGAACGTTATTTTCATTGTTTGAACATGAGAATTTGTCTCGTGAGAATAATTGAGTGGTAACTTCATTAAAATAAAAGCTGAAATCTAAGTTAATTACGTTTGAAATAAGTAATCAAAGTTACAGTCAAGAACAAAATAGTTTAGCTTTTCTGATCATTAACTATTCTCCATTACTTACCTTCTACCCTACATCTTCTTTCGTTTACCGGAACATAGAAATACTGACTAGGGCAACCACCATATACCTCCAAGCTGACGTTTTTCTGACATTCTTCATTGCATTCATTGTATAATCGAAGTTACAGTTAAGAACAAAATAGTTTAGTTTTTCTGACCATTAACTATTCTCCATTACTTACCATCTACCCCACATCTTCTTTCGTTTCCGGGAACATAGAAATACTGACTAAGGCAACCACCATATACCTCCAAGCTGACGTTTTTCTGACATTCTCCATCGCATTCCTAAGAAATAGTAGAAAATTTACAATATCTTGTTCTAAAAGCTGTGTTATTTTCATGGTAAAATTTTCAATTTGATGCCCCGATAAAAAAAAAGTCTAAATTGGGCGAAAAATAACTAATTTACTTCCTTTTAACCCCATAGTCACATAATTTTGATGAAGACGGTCATAAAGCGCCTAGTATTTTGTTCAAGAAAATTGTATAAAATTAAGTGTATGCACAATGTATGCATACATTTTTATTTATGATGTTAATTTTTAGATGGGTATAATGATATGTGCTTATATCTGGTTTAAAATAAACAACCTTTAATCACAATACTTTTTGCAAATAGTCAATACTGCCATCTGGTGTATAAACTGAGAAATAAAAATGATACCGGACAAAAAAGTATAGATTGTTTTATATTTTTGGCACGTTACTTATGAACACTAAATCTCGGAAAAATCACGGGAGTGGCAGATGTAGGGTGAAATATCACCGAGTTATTTTGACGGGAATGAGAAGAGAGGGGTTAATACACAATTTTAAAATATTGGTAAAAAAATGTAATCAAAAAAGTAAGTTTATTATACAGAAGAGTAGATGTATTACTCATACTTAAGCACAAAATCTTATTGATGAATAATCACATCATGTATAACATATATTGTGCATAAGAATTCCCTCTATTTAATATGTAGAATACTAACCTAAAGCAAAAAATTTAATAAAAACCTATTAAATACGCGAAAAAAAATCTTAAACAGGCATTTGCATTAAATGACAACAACGAAAAACGCGCCGTCATCATAGCAGAAAAATATATTAGAAAACAGTATTAATCATATTCTACAGAAAGAAACACGGGTTTTAAAGTTCCCATAAAACTGGAAAGCATAAGATATAAAGAAATATACAATCTTCATTAATCACTATATTTAGAAGACATGTTTAGAATCCTACTCAAAATAAAAATAATTTTAAAATCGCATAAAAAGATATTAAAATGAGACGTTCATTTCTGAAGTGAATCACATAGGAGAATTTAAAAGCATCAAAATAAATCTGATTATTGCTTGAAATCGATAGGGTATCCTCACAATAAATATAATAAAATTTTAAAAGAATATTGTGATTGCTTTAATACGATCGCTGGTTACCCATTGGTCAAATGCTTTTTTTTTTCTGGTTTGACTCTGATAAACGCCACAACATTTCAAATCATGGGTTGCAAAAACTGTTTCATCGTCGGATTGGTTTTCAAATCCCGGCTATATGCGTGTTTCAAGACATCACAATATACTTCTCCTTCTTCACTATTCATATTTATATTAAAATCACCGTCAAGACGGTAATTAAAAGTTAATAGTAAAAAGAATATAAAAATACTTTAAATTATTATGCAAATACATTAAGAATGATTGCTGGTGAAAATAAAAAGAAAAAAAGAATTCTAAAAAAATTATCAAACAGCAGTGGTCGCCATAGCAATGCATGCGATGACTACGCATGTGCACTGTTTACTATTACTCGTGAACACAGTTGAAAAGTGTGATGACATCCAAATAAAGTGCGCAAGCCATAAATGGTAATAATCTTCCAATAGGTAATAATGGGTTCCAATGGGTAATAATCTTCCTCCTACGCTACAGCATTTCGGTTCCATCCGAGAACAAACTGCTTTTCACGTGATTCTCTTCAGCAGTGATTTGTCAAATTCTAATAACTTTTTTTTAATCAAATTAAATATTTATATTTTTGCTCATGGTACTGTTTTATTCCTTTTGATAAGAATTGTAAAAGTATATAATTAAGAAAACGCTAACGGAATGCCGTAAATTTCCTACTTTTTGGTTAGTGGGGCCACGTCCTCCTCTTGATTTCCATCTTTCTACATAATCCACGCAGTTTGTCTCGTAAGGGGCGGGGAGAAGTTTTTTCACAACCTGAAACGCATAAGCATATGTTTTTAACTTTTAAAGGCGGTAACAAATACATGAGTGATAATGTTGAGTATTGCTATGATGACCTCAATAGTTAAAAAAATAATTTTTAAAATTACCTTTTTCAGTCGAAAGTCTTGCCTCGTGTTGACCTTCATGTGGAATCCATTGGTATATGGATTGACAATCTGTCGAGGATTGTGAATAGCGACCTGTGCTGTGACAGATTTGATTTCCGTTGAATATTCCTCAGCATGTGGAAATACCACTATAGTTAAACCTATAAAATGATGTTTTATTATAATGAATGCCAGAATTTAATTTCTTACTCTTATGACATGACAAATTTGTCCACCTTAGACAAAACTTTCTTAGTTACGCGCTGAACCCTTGTATCTTAGTTAGACGGTTACGACAAGCACCTTCAAAATTGTCCAAAAAGAGTTATAGGTATCTACGCCGGGTTAAATGTATAATCACACGTTTATTTCCACTTACTTTTTACCAATGAAAAGACACGCATAACTACACTTAAGTTTCGTAAATTAGTTGATCAACTAAAGATCATTAAATATAAAAACATAAAACTTCATTTTTAGTATGTTTGCAATTTTTTTTGCCAGAAATAATTTTAAAAAGAAGTTAAGCAGCTTGTTTGGCGTGTAATAGCATAAATAACTTAATACAATGACCAAGTATAGCAATCATAGTTTTTTAAAATGTAGTTATTTTGCAAATAACAGATACATTGCCCCTTGCAGTCAGGTTAGCAGTGGGAGGCTCTAGTGGTTTTCCTCTCCATGAAGCGCAAATGCGGGTTAGTTCCATCAGAAATTCCTCCACGGAGACAAATTTCTCCCAATTCTCTTGTCCTCTAGATTGAGTTATAAATTACAAGGCTTCGAATTCGAACATAAGTAGTCGTAAACCCAAAAATTGGGTCGGCAGTTCAACAACGGTTATAAAATAAAAAATACTTTTTAATTTGATATACTATTTGAACAATTTATATTACGGCGTATATGCACAGTGTACAAAACAAAAAAGTTGTCACCTCTATAACTTATGATCTTATGATTGCATTTTCTAATGCTAACAAACATACAGCCTTGGTGGTTTGAAGGACAAACATTAAATATGTTAGAATATTTGTGCAAATGATATTTTTATAAACTTGATTAGACACAAAAGCATACTTTCTCTGCCTATTTTTATGATTTTGAATTGCTTGCCCTCAAAAGATGGGGATTACCCGCAATCTGGAAAATATTATTCTTATGGTTTATAATCAGTGGTCAAACGTTTGTGCTCCTGATTAATAATTTCCCTTTTTGCACGTTCCATAATACTTCTAGAACATTTTGTTATTGTTGCAATGCAACTTGCCTATATCAGCAGAGCTGCTTGGAGAAACCGAGCGAATTGAAGGCAGAGTGTGTGTTTCTTGTTTCTCAGTGGTGCCATCTATTGAAAGGAATACGACTTCAGCCATGCACATGTCACAGCAGGTTTATAGGGTGAACCCATTCATACATCCATTCATTCATTCTCAGATCGTAATTTTGACCTGAACCAGAGAACGAAAAATCTCCAATTCAGTACTCCTAGAGGTATGATTTGTTATGGGAACATAGAGGACTTGACCTGGCAGATTTAACGTGCACCAGTCACCATTTGCTACACGGGGAGTCTTTGCTCGATGGGGATATAACTTACGGCCACTTGTACATGAGCGCAATGACCTACTCACCAGGCAATGGCGGCCCTGAAGAACTTTTTAATATAATCAAATAATTCGGCTCGGTGGCTTAGATTCACTGATGCCCACCGAGTAACGTTAAATGAGCAACGCTTCCGACATCTTCCAAGAAAAAACGACAGTTCAGTGCCTGTCGTTAAAAAATAATAATAATTTGAAGGGCAAGAATCCAAATCTGTCTGGAGAAATGTATGATTAATTGGGAACAAAATGTATTGTGCCTGTTTTTGTAACTCATAATATTGTCTGCGCAAATATTTCAGCATATTTAAGATTAATCCTACCAATGATTAAGATTTTAATTTAATATATGAAAATCCACTGATTAGATCTAAAGTTATTAAGTTGTTTGCTTTTTAATTTTCCGCACTGTCATTCAAGGAACTTACGGGCATTTGAGAGGACTTTCCGAGGTTCTGCCTCTGGTTGTCCAATTATTGTATTAAGAGTCCAGCAAGTACCCATTGTGGAATCTTCACCTGGGCAACGCACGTGTTCATAGTTTTTCATGCTACAAAATAATTTTAAATGATTAATAAAAGTTTGTCAAAATGAGCAAAGTCCTTACCTAGACTTTTAACAAAGTCTTTACTTCTTTTAGACATTTCAAAAAATTTTCAAAATTTTTATAATAGCTATGAAGAAGTATTAAAGCTTCTCAAAATTTAAAAATAACTCATTCACACATATAATAGTAATTAGTTTACATTATAAGTTAAAAACCATTTGGAACTTTAACACCTGAAATATATTTAACCATTTTAAAAATGTAATACTGATAACTACGGGTATCTGTTCTCAAAGCGTTCGAACGCTTAGAAGTGGGAGAAAGAACATTTTTTATGGTAGAACAAATGTAGGTAACCAAAATGTACAATAATATGTAGAATAAAATTTGGTGCATATATAATAAACGTGCTGCAATATGAAATATATTTAGATCCAGCCACAATTATACTACCTAATGAGTTTCTAAGCTTAGCTTACAATTCCATTTGTATAATTAGCTGATATAATTAGTTGATAATCATACTTACTCACACTTGGTGAAAATTTTATCTTCACTCCCCTGATAAATAGTACAGTAATCGAAAAACTCCTCAAAATCCTGTAACAACATTTCATACTCACTGTACTCCATCATATTAATTTCTCTGTAGAGTTGCCAATCAACAACCTAATAAAATCATAAATGAAACACTAATTAGATACACATAGGGTTTAAAATAATTGTAATAAAACTCAGGAAACAGAAAAGAAATTTTACAAACTCATTTTTCTTGTGTGGAAGGATAGAATCTTGCAACTCAAAATATTGAACACTTTCCGACTAGCTAGAGAGCTTAAGTTTCTACACTTAATAATTGATAATAATGCAAGTTTCAACTGTTTTCTAACCACTACGTTCACAGTTAATAGAGAGTACTACTACAGAAAATTTATTCTCAATCAAAATTTCGAACACTTTCCGACTATCTAGAGCTTTTGAGTCTACTGGAGCTTAGTGTTTGATAACAATGCAAGTTTGGGCTATTTGAGCAAATTTTGAAAGAAATCGGTTAAATTGTTCCTGAGAAATCAAATTGGGAAAATATGACTTCTTTAAAATTCGTTTTCTGAGGAACTATTGACCGATTTCCCTCAAATTTTATATTTTGTCACGTAAAATTTCATTCTTTAAAATGATGTTAAAAATTGTGTACCCTACAATTCAAAATTCTTTCGACTATTATTAAATGAAATAATAAGTATTTACTTTAGGTAATTTTTTACTTGAAATTACCTTAGAATAGTCTAATTTTATTTTTGCGTGCAAAAATTTTTTCAATTCGTTTTAATACTTCTCGAGACAGGGCGAAGAAAATAGGATTAACATAAAGGGGTCTAAAATTTTGACGGTTCTCCTAACCAAACTATTGGGATCATAATTCCCAGATTGCGGCAAGAGGATCTAATTGATTGATTTTGAGGATCTAAAATCTGAATCCGTCTAAAAAAGAGTTTGTTTATTCCAAAAAAGTGCGTTTTTGTATTTTATTTCGTAACTTAAATATGAATCCTCGAACGTGAAGACCCGATCGTTAGGTCAAAAATTATTCAGGATGGTCCATTTTTTTTTCTTTTCGGCACATTACACATGCAAAACAAATTATAGATCTCTTTCAATCTAAACAACCCAAACAAGCAGTGAAAACAACGCTTTCTTGTAAAATTAAATTATGAATTAACTTAAATTCTTAAATATGATTGCCCTTATTCTTCATTTGCCTGGGCAACTGGAACACGTTTCTTAATGTCGAAATTAAATATGTTATCTGACGTTGAGGATTAGTTTTAGGTATGTAGAGCTCCGCGGATCACTAGAGTTCAGTTAGAATTTCCTTCAGAGGAGTATAGGTAATAAAATAGCCTTTTAACAAACGGTCACAAACAAATTTCTCCCTTGTTCCCTGGTGTAAAACTTCATGCGCTTCAAAATTAAACAAAATGGAAATCGGCACATTTCGAGCGCATCAAAAATCGGTGCCCATTTTCAAGACTGGATGTCTCGAAGCAAAAATTATTTGTAAACAGACATAAAATTGCCAACGAGAAATTGAAGAATAAACGTAAGAATTGAAAATTAAAAAAACCACTGAAGTTAAGAGGGGAAAAATGAAAAACAGAACAAGAGAAAAAAAAACACAGTGGCCAAGAAGAAAATCAGGATAAAATATATTTCCAGAGAGGAGGAGGTGGGGAGGAACTAGTGTCATTAACAAGGGAATCAACACTCAAATGAATAAATTAAGAATCCATGGTATCAAAATGAGCCGGCGAGGATAGGATGGATATAATTCCAGCATTTTCGAAATTGAACTTATGCCCAAGATTCCAACATTGAGTAGCAATTGAAGATTTTTTGCTTGGAAGATTCATTTAATTTATTTTAGTTCAGCCTTTGATAAAGTTAAAGGTTCTAATTAATTATAGATTCTGTTCTCTTATAGATTCCAATTAATTAGTGATAGCTAAGCCTTGGATGCAGATGATAAATGTATCTGTGTTTTTTTTCCTTTATAGGGTATTATTCATAATTTTCAGTAATAATTTATTAATTTTAAATAATATTTTTCATTTTAAGAATAAGTTGTTTGTAATTTCTTTTCTATGCAATTTCTGTAAATTCTGACTTCATTCTTATCATATTAAGTTTTCTAAAATAACAAGTGTTGATGTTGAACTGGGTTTTCCAATGCATAAGAATGCTTTTGGAAAATTGGCATTCTCTTATTTAAATTATAGCAAAAAACAATTGATAATGCAATGCAATTCTGGTGTTTATGAAGATTGTAACTAAAGTATTAACGATAGCTTATTTAATTTACATCGGATACTTAGTTGCATTTTTCCCCTCATAACTAACATATTGATAATTAACTATTAATTAAATACTTAATTTCAATTATTAATTTATTTTTTATATCAAATTTATAAATAAAAATATTTAATAATTAATTTATAATTTTTAAAAAAAAATGTATAAAATCATGTTCATAAAGAAATAATGAACATTAAATTTCAGATTCATGCAATCTGTCTTATGTTTAATAAAGTTTTTTTTTTTTCGTTTTTAGAACAATTTTAAGGAATAACTAAAAAATTGAAGCAATCTAATCAGGCGCAAAATCGTGCTTAATCTAAATAAACATACCTTTTTTCGCCGGATTTTAATTTTTGATAATCAAAATAGGGTTAAGGTGACAGCCGTTATCTCGAAACTATGACACCAAAATTTCAGGCAGAAAAGCGATTCAAGATTTGGGCCCTTTGATGTTAATTTCACTTTTTGCATGTTTCACCGCACTTCAAAAGTTTTTAAGTTAATCGAAAAGTGTCTGCGCACAATCGAAAAATTCTTTGCAAAGATAATTTGATGCAAAAAATAATTATTAATGGCTTTTTATTATTTTTAATTGTTTAATATAATATTGATAAATAAAATCCAGAATTATGAGATGTATGTACTTTTACTTCTTTTTTGTCTGTGTAATTGGAATAATTGAATAATGTAATAGTTCTTGAGAAATGAAAGCTTAAAATATGGCTTTTAATTCAGAAAAAATGCGACCGATTTCGTCCAAATTTTACATTCTATCATTTAACGGTACATAATTTTAAATAGCAGAAAATTTTTTTGCATTTCAAATCAAATTTTTTCTTTGTAAATTAATCAATAAAAATAATAAATATTTATTAAAAAAAATTTATCAGCTATATTGTTATAATAGACGCGAGAATAGAGAATAATGGTAAATGATAAAACCACTGGGGAATTGGAAAAATTATTTATATTTCAAATCAAATATTTTCTTTGTAAATTAATTAATAAAAAATAATCAATATTTATTAAAATAAATTTTATTAACCATACTGTTATAATAGAATAACAGTGTATCAATAAAATTTATCATCCTATAACATTATATAATACAAGTTATAATTGTATAGTATATGCAAGTATAATGTAATATAATTGTATATTGTTTTAATACAAAAAAAATTAAACCAAAATATCCATATATTGCCTGACATACACAATATGCATGTCACAACAGGCAATATACTGTTAACTATAACGAGTCATATGCTTTTAATTATAACAATATACTGTTTTATATAACGGAATACTGTTAACACTGTAAATAAAAGACAATCATATTGAGTAAATATGTTTATAAGGTTTACATACTTTAACGTCATCCAGAACACCATTTTTGCACCACCTTCCCCCTAAACATTCACACCAATCAGCACCATACTCAGCATCGTTTGTCAACTTCGAGCATCTGGATTCGAATCGTGAATCATTGCAAATTTTGCTCCGATACAGTCTGTATAAAAATGCGTAAAATCAATACATAAATACACAATATACGAAACATTTTCTGAATTATAAAACATGAATAGTATGTGCGTACTTTTTGCTCCAAAAAAGATCGACGATATGAAAGTTCATTATAAAAATGAACTAAAGAAATAAAATTTTAGTGAGAAAAAAAGTTTTTTTTTTTTTAGTTATTACCATACATATCCGGTATTATTCGTTCAGGACCTCTAAAATCAGGTTATAGCTAGCTCTCAAACAATTATTAATTTATCTTTTAATCAAAAATTTTTTCCTTATAAAATAACTTTTATAAGTTTACATTTAATAATTTTTATTTATACATAATTTGAACAATATTTGTTGAAACTATGGTAGCGGAAAGAGGGAAAGTGTGGAGAGTGAAGAAATCGTGTATCTTTGGAAGGCCTATTCTATTTGCAAAGAGTATATATATA